GCCCTTACCCCCTGGAAGAACTCCCGTTGGATGGAACAGGGCGTGGCCATGGGGATGGTTCACAGAAGGACAGTTGCTCTCTGCTTGAAATGGCACGCGCTGTGTAAAGAGACATGACAGAGAGCCCTTGGCCGTGCCGCGCCCAAGTTCTCTGGTATTGTTCACCTGTTAGCTCTCGACCCCTGGGTGTCGAAGTTACGGGTATACTCTGGAACGATTAACCAGGCCGGGTGTGACCTAGAGAGCTCAGCCCGTCTTAGCCTTGGGTTATTGTTGACTTCTCTATGAGCATTGGTTGCTTATGGAAGTTTATACCTTTAGTCGTTCCACTACATTAGCACGGCGTGATTGTACTGTTCCCATATGCGTCTAGCAGACGCCTGCCGCGCCATTGGTTCGTTTTTTTAAGCCCTGCACGAACCAATGGCCGTGCAGTTTCACTGCGTGAATGAAATAGGCTTCAGTTCAGGAGAAAAAGGCTTTTTTCCCATATGCGTCTAGCAGACGCAGTACTCGTTCCCGTATCTCAGGGAACCGAGGTTACGTTAGTAACCGAGTACGTTCTTCTAATTACAGCCGAAACAGTGAAAAACAATAGCAATGGTGAGAAGTACTGGAAGGTAGATTTCAGAAGCAACATGATTTAAACAAGGAGCTGGAAGCTGTTTAAATACCCATTAGGAAAGATACTCAAAGTTGAACGCAAGAGTTTGAAATCAAACTCAAGATGAGTGTAAAACAGCAAATATGTATCTAATCGTACCTAAGAATGAGATAACAGTTGATAACAGTCGTAAAACTTGAGCCTAAACAACCATAGTGCGTGTAATGATGGAAGAAAGATCTGTTAAAATGAAAATCAGAAGTGTGACTCTCAATGGCTGTTAAAAGTGATAGAAAATTATCATTCATTCCATGCCGTTTCAAACCTGTATGACTTTTCTTCTTCTGTGAAATATATTATGAAGAATATTGATAAGCAAATCCTTTTGATTACCATTGACTTGCATTGTATGGACAAAAAAAGCGAAAAGCGTTGTGTTTTGTAGTAAACAAATCCATCAAGACATTTTTAATTGCAAACATAGTCCTCTATCCATAACGTTGTCTCGTCTGAATCAGGAGAGAAATATGTACAGATCAAGCACTGTTTACAAGCAAAAGCAGTTCAAAACAATTCTAAACAAATATGTCAATAGATTATGATGTGAGAGCACAACACAGGATGGACTTTTTCACTGAAGGAAGCGTTATTATGGATTAGTTCTTATGGTAAAGCAATCTGAAAAGTGTGGATGAGAGGAAATACCTTTGAGGTCCAGGTTGCGGGCTCCATTGGAGTGCTGCGTGACCGTGTGGGAGTCGATCTTGAGCATGTGCACGTTGCTGTCATCGCGGGACACCATCACGTTGTGCCACTGGTTGTCATTGAGCGGCTTGTCGGAGTTGCCCTTCATGAGCGACGGCCCATTGCCCAAGTCAAAAACATAATGGATGTACCTGCAATACATCAGTTCCACTGTCAATCACACAGCCCAGTGGAATCAGGCAACTCTCTTTAGGATGACAATACTGCCTTTTTGCTTCCAAATCAATATAACAAGGCTTGAAATACTGGCACAGACAGACTTCCATCCTGTCAGACACTCTGTGTGCAGCCGCAGTAAACAGCTTACAGTCTTCAGGAAAATGTCCCTTAAACTTCAATGCACTGTAGCTCCATATATTATATAGGAATTTTTTGTTGCTTTGAAATTGTTTGCGTATACTTCATTTCACATATACTCTGTTTAATTTGAAGATTTTATCTGCACATTTGTCAGTGATAAATGTGCTTTGGCTGATAACTAATATGCCAATATTAGTCATGCACAAGATATCACTATCATATCAGTTATCAGCTAGTATTTGATTATATATATATATATATATATA